ATATTTGGTTATGACAAAACTATTGAACGTGGTTATCTTGAGTGTTGATTTCTAGATTTTTGGAATGGTTACTGTCTCACCCTGCAGTATATCTAATAAACAAGTAAATATGGGATCATATACTATCACGATACTCAGGTCACTTACATAGGGCATTTCTGAATGTAAAACACATATATTGTTATTGTTAGTAAAACTTTCAATTATTAATCTCGTAAACATGAAATCTAAAACCACATGAAAAACATTACACGCTACATTTTAAACATTTTTTTGTATAACGACCAACGCAGGAGACCAGTCTTTGTGTACTCTTGTTTAGCTAACCAGAATTTGCTTATGTTAATCACAGTCACAAAATGCCCCAAAAAATAAAAGACGAAGTCAGCGAGGAATGTTTTCTCTACCAACGAAATCATCTTCAGAGACTGTACAGTCGTATTTATATTTACCAAAAATGTATAGTAGTCTATTACTGAGTAATAAAGGGTGACATAATTGATATAATTTCTCGAAAGTGGCTTTAGAAGTAAAAAACGACAGAAGTTGTAAATTACGTAGTACTCAAAGGAACAAAGTTAGAAATTTGATAAGGTTTAAACTGCTATTGAGTGAGAATAAACGTAGTTGAGTGTCAACTTAACAAGTGTGAAGGGTGTGTGAAAAAGTACAAGAGGAACATATGAGGGTGATAATAGTGAATTAATTATTGAAGTAAAAGCAAACTAAACGTAAAACTTAAAATTTTAAAAAATTACACGATTTCACATGGAACGACTAGTGAAGTGATAGAATAAGAGACTGGACTCAGTAAGAGACTGCTATACATTTTTGGTAAATATAAATACGACTGTATAGCGCCTGAAGATGATTTCGTCGATACAGAAAATATTCTTCGCTGACTTCATCTTTTATTTTCTTTATGACCGAATGAGTATTTTCGGGGATTTGAAGCAGAGCAAGAACCCTGTGACAGTGAAAGAACTTGATGCGTTTTTTAAGTTTCCTGTCAAGCTTGCCATAGCGAATACAAGAGTCAGTTTTATAAACAGATGTATTGATAAGAAAGAACATCCCAAGCGCTACTGGAAATGTCTTCGTCGCAATCATATCCACCCAAATCATCTCTCTTTGAAGCGTCATACACTGAATGTGATCGATGAAATAAAATCTCGAATAGCAGAGATAGAAAGAAACATTTTACTAAGAACACATGCTCTGTTCAAATTGACAGAAGACGAGCAGGGAAATTGCATGGAATACATCAATTCAGTTTCAAGAAGACGCTGTAAAAATGTAAACCTGGAACTCGCAAATAGTCTCAACGTCGCTGACACTTATACACGTTTTCCTGCCGCACCAGAGAAGTGCGTTTTCAACTACTCTAGTATATCAGTAACTCCTATCCAATTGCAATTCTTGCCGCAGGTTCCAAAGTTCGACAAATTCGAGTGACTTGGATATTAAAGTACAGTTCGAAGCATTGATCCAACAGACAAATGACCTTCTCCCAGTGTCCAACAAATCATTTGAACAATTCAAGTCTGCAGTATTGGACAGCAGTCATCAGCACATCAACACAACCAATCGAACCCCGGACCATGTGCATGGTCGGCAAGCGTCCTAATTGCTGTGCCACCGACGCACCAATAAATCTTGGAGCATATCTATTCTCTTTGAGGATTTGTCAGAGTCGCTCCAGTTCCCCGTCGATTGTATCACTGGAACATATCCTTCTTATTCTTGAGGATAAGGAGTGGATCAGGTTTCTCTTTCTTCTCAAAGGGACCCAACTACCAAAATTCGTGTACTGACCATTCCATGTTGTTTTCCTGTAGATGGATCTTTGAAGATAACCATCAGATCTCTTGATGACGTTGAAATTGAATTGGAAATTTGAGGTGCACATCAATAGTAGTTCCTTTAAGTAGTGGATCGGAACATACACGTCTACATTATTATCCTCAATGAATTTGCATATAAAGCAAATAGTTCCAGTGAGGGGAACATTGGTGAAAAGGGAAGTAACATATCATTTTCCTCCCGGATACATTAGCATCACCTACTGAATCGACGAATTTAAAGGAATCAGAAACACTATGCTTGCAGAGATTATTTCTGGTAGGTAGGAGGATGTCTGCGAGCCATTCGACAGTAACGTGAAATGGGTGATATGCGTGATGTGTCACCCCTTATTACTCAGTAATAGACTACTATACATTTTTGGTAAACATAAATACGACTGAACAGTCTCTGAAGATGATTTCGTCGGTAGAGAAAACATTCTTCGCTGACTTCATCTCTTATTTTCTTCATGACTGAATGAGTATTTTCGGTGATTTGAAACAGATACCGAACAGAAGCAAAAATGCAATAATTTGTGACAAAATATGCGATACTTAGCAATGCCTTTAGGGAACTACATGGATGTTATTAAACCCTAGACCCAGAAGAATTAGTGAAACTCAAACAGAATATCTTGTCGGCAAGAATCACACTCCGAAAAATTTCCTCAGATAACTCAAGGTCAAAAAAGCCTTTACTAACTCAAAAAACATATTATTAACTTTATCTTACAAGCACAAGGAGAAATACTGAAGTGAGAGATTGATCAGGAATAAAAATAAATAATAAGGTTTAAGTCAACAAGTGATATGCAAACGTCAGAATAGTGATATACGGTCTAACGAAAAAGGTATTTTCATTACAAAGTTGGTTGTTACGTCCAAATAAGCAGCAACATTGTAGTTAGATGGTTTAGGAGGAATTTTTAAACAATTATTCCATTAAACATAATGTATCGAACTCACTGCTTTGAGTTAGGCTTTCGTTGTAAGCTGAGTTATGATTTTAATACATGAATTTTATTTTTAGCTGCATATATTATTGAGTATTTATTATATTTCCAAGCCAGCCGAAATCAGAAATGGATGACAGATAGATAGACGCGTAAGTATGTGTTCGATAAATTGGTGTATCGGCCACCTTACTAACATCAGAGAGTAATAAATGCTTTTACATGAAAGGAGGGTTTAATTTTAGCTTACAATTGTTAAATGAAATGTATGAAACCTGAATAACAAGGTAAAATTAATAATGGACAAAGAAAATTAGCACTTCGATAATCAGTTCAACTTTCAGATAAGATCAAAACATGAGTTGAAACAGCTTTTATCAAAGTAGAAACCCATGTAATGAGTATTAATTTTGCAAGATAAAAGTGTAATTGACTAGTTAATCAAGCAGCAAAGCTATTGAAAAAAAACTCTATGCAAACGAGTGGTAGACAACCTGATGCTGACCATAAACTAAGGTGAGAATAAAGTTTTTAAACCATTTATGTGTTAGATTGGTGTGAAAGTATCAGTCGGGTGCACAACAGTAAGCAATTAATAAGATTTTCCTTATGAAGACACTATTCAGAACTCAACTCCATATTAAATTATTTTATTTTATATAGCACACAATGTTACAGTATTAATAACTGGCTGATATTTTGGGAACAGTTTACGGCCCATAATCATATCAGCGTGATGACTGACAAATCATAAATATTTCTGGATGATTGATCACTTCCAGTATCACTGTGAAGTATGGCTGTGCGTCGGTGGCACAGTGGTTAGGACTCTCGCCGACCATGCACATGGTCCGAGGTTCGATCCCCTGGCGGCGAAGCACACCTGATATCTATGGTCGGCCTGAAAAATTTGGGCTACCGATATCCACGCTGAAAATTCCATACTTGTACCAAAAATACAGTGTGGAATCAAGCTGTAATCAAAAAAAAAAAATAAAAAATTGATGATACTTCTTAAAAGATGATAACCATTAGTTATGTTTATCATTTGAGCTGAGTTAACATAAGTGATTCCATTTCGCCAATTGTGAATTTTAAACTTACAACCCATTTAAATCTTTTTGGCTTAACAGTTGGTCAAAAACTATAAGCATATATTTAATATCTTTAGAAAACTTTACATGATTTCAAAAGCGTAATTTTAACACTTTTTACGCGAAATACTGGGAAATTATGGCCAAACAAAATGCAAACTTATAGCGTTATCTAGGTTTTAGTTCGTGATGAAAGATACTCAGTAATAACTGAAACCACGCCATGTAGAAATAACGTAGATAAAGATGGTAAATACGAACGATTCGGCAATAGATTATTTTTGTTGCTTTTTATTTATTATTTTAAACTGCTTCTTTAATTATTCAGTGAATCTAATTACAGTATTCAGAAACTAAATTTACCACCTGCAACTATGAAATTTACTGAACATGCAAATAATCAGTTTGAAATTCATTTAAATTTGTAAAGAGACTATGTTTGTGAGAACAATACACTTAAATGCCCAGCCTATGTGAGAACTAATTATGCTGATCGCCCTTTAAAGTCTGAGACTTTTTTCAAAAGAAGAAGTACAGCTGTTACAGAATATGAGAAGTAAAAATATTTGACTGAATACCATTGTTTATTATATTTTCTTTTATTCAATGTCAGTGACAATGAATTATTGCTTGCTTTATAAATATGCACCAGTGACAAACAGAATAAATGTTAAAATATTATTGTATCAGAAGAAAAAACTGAAACATCCAATAGCTTTAAAATTTACTGTAAAGCACAGGCTCTTATGACCTCTAGTTAGTGCATTTATTAATACGTTAGTTAAATAATCAACGGAGCATTTCACTTTTCAAAAGCCTTTCTGTTGGACAACTGAAAATGTCACTGGCATGAGTTATGAAAACAAGAACTCGAATTCATTTTCGTGGTAACTATTCATACTTGTGTGTTATACATATATAAATGAGTAAAGAGTACTGAAAATCAATAATAAAAAAAATTAGGTCAGACATATAATATTATCGAATTCAGTGTGATTACATTGGTTGGTTTTTTAATATTTGTGTACACGTTTGTTGAACAAATTCCTTGGGTATATATTAGCAGATGTTCTGTTTCTATCATTCAGTAACTACATTAATGGTTAGTGATGACACTTAAAAGAAAAAAATCGTATAGAGTTGTTGCTTCTAAGAAATCAAAACTGATTTTCATAGTAGCTGTTATGTTTTTTCAGTTATCATCAATAACTATTTATCGTTACTATGCAATATCTAAATTATTTGAAGAAGAAGAATTCGTGGAACCTGAGATAATGTATAATATGGACACTTTACGAAAATGTACACAGTCGGAAAATGATTGGCTTCAATGTATTAAACAACTGAATAATTTAACCAGAGTAAGCAGTGCTAGAGTGCGTGGATTCGACTCATCAGTTCATTTAATTCGTACACCTATAAACTGTACATTTTTGGATATACAGATTCCATTTAAAATGAATAATAAACATTATTTAAATGTAACCTTAAATGAACGCTACGTACTGCCTAGAAGTTCTGCAATTGCTAAAAACGGAAATCTGACTGTAAAATCAGTCAATACAAATAGGCATTACCCAAAATATTTCAACGTGAAAGAAGCATTAAATGCTATACACAAAGGTTTACCTCAGAAAGAGGTAAGTTTTATAGAATATTTGTTTGTTTTTTTTTATAAATGCAGAAGTATCTGGTGACCGTATTAGGTAACTAACTCATAGGTCACTAAATGTATCACCGAATAGGATATATCAATTCTTGTTAGCTTATTGATAATCGCCATTTGTAATATATACTGAAACTAATTATCGCATATTTGTTTACTGTATTTTTACGCTAAATGTAAAAACAAAGAGTATCGTATGACGGTAAATGATACATAGTGGTCAAAGACCTAAACTCAATTGAGGCACACTTATAAATTCGCATTTCTTTTATTGTCAATCACATTTTGAGTTATCTATCAAAGTTTAGTCTTATTTTTTCTGTTTACGCTATTTCCTAGGGACTCATTATAGAAATGTTCATGTCTGTTTAAACACTTATTATTATTATTTCAAAATCACTATAATTTATAAAAGCCTAGTTTTAAAGAATTGTTCTAGTGTTAACTTTTGATGATCAGCGTAAGGCCGTGTTTTTTTTCTACAACGCCAAAAAAATTTCGACGTAATTTGTCTGTTAGAGAAAATGATATATGTGACTGTTTGCACTACTCAGCGCTCTTCATAACATTTGATGATTATGGAGATAAAATGAATGGGTTTAAGCTAAAATAGCAAGGCTAATAGCAGTTTTTATCTTTAAAAATAAATGGTGAATAAATATAAAGTGGAGACTGCATATAAGTAGTTAGGAACACAAAGCATTGTGCGTCGGTGGCACAGTGGTTAGGACTCTCGCCCACCATCCACATGGTCCGAGGTTCGATCCCCTGCCGGCGAAGCACACCTGATATCTATGGTTGGCGGCCTGAAAAATTTGGGCTACCGATATCCACACTGAAAATTCCATACTTGTACCAAAAATACAGTGTGGAATCAAGCTGTAATTAAAAATGAAAATAAAAATTATTAATTTATGCTTTAATCAGACTGCCTATATAATTGGGACTGTAGGAAAATAATGTCTTCTAGCTGAGAAGAGCGAAAACTATTTTTACAAAAGTTTACGTTATTTTCCTTTTAATGACAATAAACGTACGTCAGTCATCATTTAGTCAGTGTTAAATCTTGTCATATTGTATCGTTTTCAGTAGGTCGACTTTTTCATTATGGATAAGATTTTATTTTGATAAGTCATACAGTGTTACACAGTAATATTAAGTGATGACGTTTCGAGCACAAATAACTGCTCATAATCATATCAAGATGGAATTTTTAAACTGAGTTTACTCACAATGTATCCTTTATTTTCTTCGTACACCAGGCGAAAAACCATGACTTGGTATATTACACTTTCACAATCTTAATTCCATCCTTAGTCAGTCACACTTCCTGGTGTATATTATATGAGCAATTTTATGTAGAACTCAATAGCTAAAACTTCATATTCTTAAATAAGGTGTTTTGTAGTACAAGTGCTGCTCTACATATCCTGTAAAAATGCGTTTAATATATGGGAACTTCTCAAAGAAATTACTGGTGGTACGCAGATGAATAGTATTTCTTATTCCTTTGATGTTTGCACACTAAACAAGTCTTACATACATTCTCCCACAAATGCCAAACTTTCTAGTGCTACAAGTGCTAATGAAACCTGCTTCCCTAGTTTCAATACAAATGATATTATAAAATCTCTCCTCTTTCTGAACCGTTCATGCAGCCTAGGTCCAGATGTTTTGCCTAGTGTTATTCTTAAAAAGTGTGCAGATATCCTGTGTTATCCTCTCATGGACATATTTAATGAATCTTTTTCCAGAAATGTCGTGCCAGCCATTTGAAAGGACATTAAAATTTTACATATACCTAAGTCGTCTACTGGAACATGTTTTAAATTTAGACCTATTGCTGTTACCTGTCCTTTTCTATAAACTATGGAAAAGTTACTCTTAATTAATCTTCAGACTTCACTTAAAGCCTTTAACGACCCCGAACAATTCGCCTATGAACACAGTAGAATTACTTTAGATGCAGCTGCAGTCTTGTATCATAATATTGTCTCCAGCTGAGACAAGGAGGCTAAATTTATTCGCTGCACCTTCTTAGATTACACATCTGCTTTCGACTCAATTCCTGGGGATATTTTGTTTAACAAGCTTGCTGACACTCACACTGACTGTTGAGTTGTCAAATAGCTGCATTCTTATTTCTCAGGAAGAAAGCAGTACACTGTATGTCAGGGAAAGTCGTCCACTTCGTTGCTTACTGAGGCTGGTGTCCCTCAAGGCGCTGTCCTTTCTTGTTTTGCTGTTTTCTTTCTTCTTGCATGACTTACCTCACTCTGATGAAATGAACTTTGTTAAGTATGCCGATGATCTAACTATTTCAATGTCTGTTTACTCCCAGCTTGATTGTACTGAGATGAACAGCTTTCTAACAGGAATTAGCAAATGATCTTCGACTAACGGCCTTAAACTAAATCCTTCCAAATGTCAGACTGTTAATTTCAGTTTCCAATGTAAACGAAAGTTAAATGAAGCCGTTGCTTCCTATGACCCTTGCAAAATTGATAACACTGATATAGAAACTGAGTCTGAAGTTAAGTATCTTGGATTAATTCTTTCTTCGGACCTATCCTGGTCTTCCCATGTCTTAGCGGTTTTTTAAAAAATATTTCGTCTTACATTTTACATTAAGAAATTAAGGCACTCAGGCATAACTCAACCCTTTCTCCTCTTACAGTTTGTCAACTCGTGTATTTTACCTATTCTTCTTTACTGTTCACCCTCGCTTATTCTTTCCTGGATTGCCTAAAAATGACTATGTCATACTTCATAGAACTCTGAAGACTGTCAGTAGGACGAGTGGTATCCCATTGGGCCATATCGTTGACATTGTCACTGATAGACACTTGATTTCATGCAGCAAATTTTCAAAAAGAATTTTGTCAGACTCTGAGCACCCACTCTACCCGCAGCTCCAACCTTGTGTCTCCTCTGCTAAAACAAGAAGTCTTTTCAGAAGACTTTGTGCACGCACGTCTAAGTATAAATATTCCACTATACCATATTTAGCACGTACTTTATATGATGAAAATAGTGTCAGGCATGAACTAACTAACCTTCTTTGCACTACTAAATAAACCATTTCCTCCACCCTTTCAACATCAAACTTTATTGTTATTGTATTTCTTATATTTATAATCCTCTCAATTTTTGTTCTTGTTTATTTTTTTTTCATAAGTGTGAACATCATTTAAGCTGTGTTATAACTGTTAATTTTGTTATTTCCCCTCAATATAATATATCAGCACAACATTAAATCCAGTAATCTATAACATGCTAAAATTTCGGAACTGAATCGACAATACTGTTTGAAACAAACTCACTGTTATTATTAGTATTATTAATGTTATAATATTTAATAATCTCATTTCATGCTTCGAATATTTTTGACTTTATGCCGTGAACGTGGACAAATTCCTCTGGTTACTTTTGTTTTAATTTTTAATTTTATTTATATTTTAAATAAATCAGATGCAATATTGTGACAAATGCTGAGAATTCCATTCTGTATTATAAGTACTGTTTTTGAAATAAAGTAGATTATTATTATTAATATTATTATTAGATATTCGGCGTTTTTGTGAACAAATTAATTAACGTATACCAACGTACACTTCAACGTTTAAAACCATTTTGTCATGTCAACTAAACATTCCAGCTACCATATTGAAGTCAGTTTCTTCTTGAATTACAATAAGAACATATTATGAGGTTCGAACAAAACTGAAATCAGCTCCAACTGATCAAACATGAGATCCTAGAGATGGTAAAGGGTTGAATCTATAAACAATAGCGAATTCCGTTAAGATTGTAATTTCGTCCAGCTGTTGTGTTTTAATATAAGAAAAAAACTTGTGCACTGTGGTAGAGTGTAATTAAATTATAGCTGAATTTTGTTTTGATAAAGTCTCACAGCGTTATACAGTAATGTTTACTGATGACGTTTCGAGCACAATTTATTGCCCATAATCATATCAAGGTAATCACACGACTTCCTAAATTCATTTATATAGTTCCATTGTTTTTCACTTGATTTGATTGGTAATAGTATTTTCCATATTTCAGGTATGAGTGACGAGTCATTCCTATTGCATGTGTTGGGTGTAGACTCGATGAACAAGGATTCAGTAATCAACCCCTGACCTACTAGTTTGACCTATGTAGTTGACCTCACAGTCATTGCATGGTATTTTGTAAATAATATTATTTTGTCTAATTGGGTCAACTGGGTCCTTTAACCTACAGAGCTTGTCCCTGAGTGAGTTTGTAGGTTTAAATGCCACCCCAACTCCTACTTTATTCAGAATCCTACGTAGTGTCTCAGATGTCCCCTCTTTATATGGTATAACTGTGGATGACTTATATTCTCTCTTATTTATGTTATTATTACTAGTTTCACAATTATTTTTATTTTGTTTTTGGCCTTTAATGATCTTCCTAATGAATTTTATAGGATAGTTATTCAACACCAACGCTTCTTCTATCTGTTTTAATTCATCATTTAGATCTTTTTTTTGTGCTACGTAGTGCCACTGCTCGGTTTGTTAAACATTTAACTAAGCCTGCCTTAACAGTTAAAGGATGAGACGAATTAAAATCTAAATATCTATTAGAATGCGTTGGTTTTCTATAAACACTAGTGTGTAGTTTGCCTTCTTCTATTCTTTTTATCTTACAATCTAACATAGCTAATTCTCCTTGTTCATTTTCTGATTCAAATGTGAATTTTATTCCCTCAACTTGTGAGTTTATATGTGTCACGAAGCTGGAGATGTGTTCTGTTTTTAACACTGTGAAAGTGAAAGAAAAGAACACAACAAATGAAACTGATATCAATGCTTCATTCTCTATCGACAGAACAAAGTGGGTGATCAACCTCTCATCAAGGGAACTAAACTCTAATGAGATAAAAGTACTTGAAAAAGGACTAAATTTCAACGTAACAGTTAATAAATTAAAACCAGAGGACGTCATTCCTAACATAGAAGCAGCACTAAACTCAATAGATAAGACTACAGCAGAAGAGGTTCGAGCACAATGTGCATTAACCCTAAAAAATCAAAAGAAAACAAAATCAAACTTAACAAAATCGGAAAGGGAAGCTTTAATTAGTCTTAAACAGGATAAAAACATTGTCATCGCAAAAGCTGACAAAGGAAACGCCACCGTAGTTTTGGATAAATCTGACTACATCAAAAAAGTTACTGAACATATTCAAACGGGTCCATATGAGGAAATTAAGAAGCCTGTAGATACAATAATGAATAAGGTTAAGAAATCTACAGCGGAACTAATACGCAGAATGAAGCCATCACTGGGTGAGTCTAAATGGTTTAATTTAATGCCTAAAACTAATAATGCTAGTAGAATATATGGTACTATAAAAATACATAAGCCAGGTTACCCCATAAGACCAATAGTAGATTTTAGAAATACCCCCACGTATGAATTATCAAAACACTTAGCTCTAATACTATGCCCCATTAGAAATCGTTCAAACTCTAGATTAACTAATTCATATGAGATGAAAAATAAAATAAATGACATTCAACTAGCGAATGATGAAACAATGGTTAGTTTTGATATAACTAGTCTTTATACTAATATACCAGTTAATATGGCCTTAGAAGCAGTTAAAAAAGAATTAACTGCGGATCCGGAACTCAGTCATAGGACAAAGCTGTCCATTGAAGAAATTATTTTAGGGATTCAGTTATGCCTCACATCTACTATCTTTAAGTTCCAAGGCAAAATATATAGACAAACAGAAGGTGTAGCAATGGGATCACCAATATCCCCTTATCGTAGCAGACATATTTATGGACAGCTGGGAAAATAGTGCCCTCAATACATTTAACCCTACTCCGAAAATATGTGGATGACACTTTCACAGTGTTAAAAACAGAACACATCTCTAGCTTCTTGACACATATAAACTCACAAGTTGAGGGAATAAAATTCACATTTGAATCAGAAAATGAACAAGGAGAATTAGCTATGTTAGATTGTAAGATAAAAAGAATAGAAGAAGGCAAACTACACACTAGTGTTTATAGAAAACCAACGCATTCTAATAGATATTTAGACTTTAATTCGTCTCATCCTTTAACTGTTAAGGCAGGCTTAGTTAAATGTTTAACAAACCGAGCAGTGGCACTAAGTAGCACAAAAAAGATCTAAATGATGAATTAAAACAGATAGAAGAAGCGTTGGTGTTGAATAACTATCCTATAAAATTCATTAGGAAGATCATTAAAGGCCAAAAACAAAATAAAAATAATTGTGAAACTAGTAATAATAACATAAATAAGAAAGAATATAAGTCATCCACAGTTATACCATATAAAGAGGGGACATCTGAGACACTACGTAGGATTCTGAATAAAATAGGAATTAGGGTGGCATTTAAACCTACAAACTCACTCAGGGACAAGCTCTGTAGGTTAAAGGACCCAGTTGACCCAATTAGACAAAATAATATTATTTACAAAATACCATGCAATGACTGTGAGGTCAACTACATAGGTCAAACTAGTAGGTCAGGGGTAGTCAGATTGTCAGAGCATAAAAATTTAGCTAAGGTAAGAATGGTTGACCCCGAGAAGATAAGTAATTTAGAAAAAAGCTCAGCAATTGCAATGCATGCGCTAACACACAACCACACAATAGGGTGGGAGAGGGTTAAAATTCTAGGTAGGTGGAGAGAGAGGTTGATTACTGAATCCTTGTTCATCGAGTCTACACCCAACACATGCAATAGGAATGACTCGTCACTCATACCTGAAATATGGAAAATACTATTACCAATCAAATCAAGTGAAAATTTTTTTTTTTACAATGGAACTATATAAATGAATTTAGGAAGTCGTGTGATTACCTTGATATGATTATGAGCAATAAATTGTGCTCGAAACGTCATCAGTAAACTTTACTGTTTTAAGCTGTTGTGTTTTAACATATAAACACCAAACTTAAATATGCCTTTCTGCGCATTGATTGTCTCCTGTAAGACAGTTTATTCGTCAAATAAAATGAATTGTTCATGCAGTACACAGGTAGTCTGAATGGATGCTTTTAACATTTCCCATCCTCTTGCCTAGATAAATCAGTATATTCAGTTGGACAGTAATAATGAAATTAAAGAATATGTATATAAAGGGCAATTATAAAAACATCTCTCAGTGCTGGTCTTAACCACCTGTGCTCCAAAAAAATCTCTGCACCCAAGTAGTATAGGATCTGGACTATCAAATGATGTATAATATCATAAAGCTGCTTCAAGTCCTAAGTTTCATTTCTTCTCTTATAAACAACAGATCGCAGACACAAAGTTGGGAGGGTTGTCCTAAACAGTTGTTGATACTTCTGAGAGTGATGTTTAAAATGGCATAGACGTTTTAGCCTGTTCGAAGCAGAAGAAATACACTATGATAGTGGCAAGCAGTAGAATCTAGCAGGAGCGTTTCGTCATATAACAAGGTGTTAACATCAAAGAGTGGTTTAAAAGACAGCATTAGGTGCCAACATGTTAATACAGCCTGACACTTTGGGTCCAATAAAATCGACCAACTAGAAATTCAGATAATAAATTCAATAAACTTCAAAAATCCAGGCTTCTTAAATTTTTTAATAGCCATAACTACACAGTCAGTTCATACAGAAATTTCCTGGAACGGTTTATAAATCTCAGGGATATTTTGTACACCAACATATCTTGAAATGACAACATATTGACTATTAGACTGCTTATGTCTTCCAAGAATGATACCTTGGATACATTGTAACGTTTGCAACATAAGCATTCACTAAACTAAACACTTATATAATGCATCATCGATGAAGATTACATCTACTCAGTAGGCTAAAGAATAGCTCTTGACATGTTGCATGAATGATCATTTATGTCTAAGTACAAGTATCTATATTTAGACGAATTCCCACATACGAAAAAATACACGTCTTCAGTCTCAATTTTATATAAAAAATTTACACAATAAGGAGTGAAGAAGTGACAGTGTGGGAATGAAACTTTCACTTTTAAAAGTAAACTAAGACTAAGCGGTGGATCAGTATTCGTTTTGAAGTTGCAAACAAAATTTTAGTTTAAATATTCCTTTATCAACGGGATTTAGAAGCTTTTGAAGTGAATATTACGCTACTATGAATACATAAAAAGCTAGGATATAAATGAAACTCACCAATCAAAAAAAAAAATCACATTTTGTCTGTCACTCATGAAATGAGTAAAACACAATTCGGTGGAATGTGGATCTAATTTGTACTTACCATCATCAGTTACCATCTCTTTTTGTCTAAAATCATAATAAGAAGGTTAAACAGGGGATGAGCATGAGCAAAGCGGTTAGACTCAAATGAATTCGTTACGTTCTATATTCAGCTGGTGATCACAATCCATGTAATCATGAATAATTCAGTTTGAACAAAGCAATAACAACGCATGGAGAAAGAAATACTTCTCTTACTTCCTAATAACTTTTCACTTTGTTCTTTGTTCATTGGGCCATGCAACTTGTTGTTGCAATATACATTTTTGTTTTTGTAAAACTAGATATAAACAACACATTAGTCCAACACAGGATAAGTCGAAATGAAGCTGTTAAATGAAAAAGACTTTCATTCACTTCTTACCACTGGTAAAACCTACGGAAGCGAGAACAGCAAATTTAAGCATAGAACAAAATATTACTTCGTTTTTTTTATAGTGCTTGTCAGCACAGTATGAAAATAATTTCAATTTAAAATCATATATCTTATGTAATATAGTATTTTATATTGTTTTAGAACTTATAGTGTTGACTAGAAACGATGAAACAAAATTAAATCCAATTATCCGCCTAAAATGATTGTTTAAATCCGCTAGAGTGTATGTAGTCTTTTAATTTTGCGTGTTCTGATTTAGAGGCAAGCTATGAGGTAATGGGACCAGTAAGGCAAAATCTGTTATCATACAGCTACGTTTTTTTTTCAATAGCTGATTTACTGTGTAAATAGTCTTCCGCAAAGTAAATCATTTTACAATTATTTTTGCCATGTTAATTTCTCTAATTCTTTAGAATCATTTACTCACTTATAAACATATGTTCAACAAATTATTTCGACTGTTCAAATTTATGAGTTCATTTTGGATAGTAGGTTAAAGTTTACATTAGGTAAGTTAATTTTAATAACCACACAGTGATGCAGTGTTAACAAATGAATGACGTTTCAAGCATAAATTACTGCTGCTCATAATTATATCAATCAAAAGACAGAAAATATATATTAGACAAACTGTAAAACCGTGTGACTAAAATTGAAATGACTATGAGCAGCAATAATTTATGCTCAAAACATCATACATTTGTTAATACTGCATCATTGTGTGATACTTAAAAGTAAACTTATCTAATATGAAATTACATTCTATCACAGTGCTCAAGTTCTACACTTACATTAAAGTTTACGTTACTTATTTTTTAAAAATGAGTGAATATCAGTTAACTAATATTTTTATTGCTCAATAATGAACTTTGAAATGTCATAGTACTTATTATATTAGTCTTTTCATATTAATGTTAAACAAATAAGCCAGCATGAATGGATTACACTTTTCTACTAGTGTGCTGCTAGAATATATTCAAATAGATTATTTTTACTTTCCATTTTAGATGCCAGTCAACGGTGAACCGATCATTATTGTTCGAATCCCAAAGAAGATATGCAATCCTCTAGAACCGACTGATAAATTAGATCTTATAGTGATGATTAAATCCTGTATCTATTGTTTCAGCAAGCGATCATATGCACGAGAAACATATATGAAATTAGAATTATGGAGAGATTTAAAAGTTCAGTTCGTTTTTGTGGTGGGGTTACCAACACCAAACGAAACTGATATCTATCACTTTGAAGGAGTGAATGTAAATCTTTATCGGGACGCCTTGAAGTTATCAAAAATCTATGCAAATTCACGATGGTTGGCAGCTAAAAAGCTAGAAAATGAAAGTAAAGTGTATCAAGACATGTTGATTGGATCATTTTATGACACATATTTCAATTTAACACTAAAATTGATGTCGACATACCGATGGGCTGCTACGTTTTGCGATCAAAAAACCCCGTTGTATATCTTTATTGATGATGATTACGTCCTTTTACCAAATAATACGATTAATCTGGTCAGAAAACTGAACGCTTCATTCATAAAATCGATTATAGGAGGGCCAGTGCATCCTTCAAGTATAGTAGCAAGGCCATCAAAAGACTACTTTCATTTGAAGTGGGCAGTTTCAGAAAGAGAGTACCCATGGGAACGTTATCCCCCCTACTTTTACGGAACCGGTTATATACTGAGTTCTACTATTGTTAATGATGCTTCTTTAGCTATGGCTTTTACACAAAATATCCGCATAGATGATTCATATTTAGGAATTGTATTAAGCAGACTGAATAAAACACTAACTGATATGAAAGAATTCCGGATAGATGCAGAAGAAAAACAGATAGAATCAGGAGCTGTTGTTATTCACACTGACGTTGCTGAAGATATAATTGACTGGGGTACTGGTCAAATTAAAAAAACGTAATCACGTTTCATTGCATTTTGCATATTATTTAATTCCCAGATTCTTATTTTTATATACAAATCATAGTGTACATTATCTTACAGATACTTAAGTAAACGAAGGCATATAATGTTAAAAGGCATGACGGGTAATGATTTTTAAGCCAGATTCTGAGATTTTAAACTTTAACCTCATTGAATAATTGATATTTTTATCACACCATAGAGATACTTTGTTTCAGTAAGCAGCCTATTATTTATAAATACTTCCCTCTTAAATTAATTACATTAAAGATTCGAATGTTCCTCTCAAACATTTCACTAAACTGAGAAGCGATTGTTGTGTAATAGCATGCAGTATTCAATGCTTTATTCATCAAACAGTTTTCGTTTTCCTAATTCCATGTCAATTTAATTATTTGACCTATCACACAGTTATATCATATTATGTACCTGGTAACAGTTCAGAGACAATTTGTCAATCATGATGACATCAAAGTGATAACACACAACTATCAAAATCAGTTTCAGTGATTCCATAAATTCTTATTCGAGTGTTTTTATTGGTAGCAGGATTTTCCGCATCTCTTCAATGAGTGTTGAGACATTCCAGTCATGCACACTTCGCATTGATTTAATCAATAAAAAGATTCAGTGACCATTATTCATTCTCTCCAGTTTCCTCTGTCAAATTCTAAATTTTTTTTAGTCCTATTTCACCTCTTAGCGTGATCAAAGATCACTGTATGCATGGGTAGATTTCCTAGGTTACACTTAGTTTACCTGAATTCATCACTTTCTCCTCCAACAATCTTAGTGACACATATCACTTACTTTGAGCTATGTATTTGACGTCACAGTCATTACGGAGTATTTAATAGATCAAGTTGTTTTGTCTAAATTGGGTTACACAGTTTCTCTATGATTGAGATTCAAGGTATAAACGATACCATCATTCTAGAAATGTTATGAATAGTGGAAAACATTTCCAGTTTCACTAACGTTGTTATTCATCTTTTTACATTTCTAACATTTTACATTTCTTTCCAACATTTAAATGAATTCACCGGGATGAGTGATAGCCTCTTAGTTACTTTTAGATTTTTTATTTCAATTTCTTCTGTTTAAGCGTTTTATCAAGCTTGCCTTCAAAAACATAGGCAGGAAGGAAGCGAAATTTAAGCGTCCTTCGGAGTGTATTCGCTTTTAGTATAATCTTTTAGCTAAACTACCATATCCTAATTCATTTTTCTTTACAAGCTATAATCAGTTGTTATTTTTTTATTTTCTAAACTAAAAATGAACTGAATTTCACTTAGTTTGGAGTGTATATCAGCTTTTGTATCATCCGAATATATTCATTATACATCTGTTTATAAAGACACTTGTTACTATGATGGCTATTTTACTGTCATAGGTTTTTCTAATTTTTCATGTTTTATGTTTTGAAATTCGCAAAAAAAAACTTCATTTCAAGCATGACTGTATTTTTAACATAATTCCATCAACTGATAACTTGAAATTACTGCTGATTTCATCATTTACGCAGAGTCCATTTCTTGGTACCACAACAGCCTTACTTATTGATCTGCATCGATCTGGACACTTGTCATGGAAAAACATAAACTATACAATATGCAATTAGAAAGGGATGGATAGAAATTTACTTTCGGTAGATTTCTAAATATGATATAGTTGTTTTAACAGCTGTCAATGTAATAAGTCGTAAAATTTTATAGCATAGCTTAACGACATCAGGTAAATCCGGTTAAAGAAACTGTAGAAACTGCTCATATGTTACAAAAGTACTTGAGAAGCTGGAGGGAACTTGAAAGGGATGAAAGATGTCTTCCAGTATTTTGAATAATTCAAAAAAATGCAAAGAGCCACTTACTCAATACCTAATGAAAAATATTTAAGAGTTTTCTGTTGACCAGATAATCATATATTATAGTTATTTATTCGTGTTTGTGATTTCTATCTGATATATGTCTGACCGAATCATTCAGCCCCTTTTTGATATGTGCGTTTTTTAACAGATGCCACGATATTATCAGGACTAATAACTCGAAGTCATTTGTGTAGTGGTGGTGGCTAGTAGAAGAATCCAGAACGCACTTTTCGCTTCAGATAGGAAGATTCTAATCAGCAGAACATATAACTGTTGAATAACGGAATTTATTTGTATTAGAATGAATGAAATGATTCCAGATCACTCAGGTGGCATTCATTTCAATAAAGTTTCAGGTCTACCAAACTGATAAAAACCAGCTGCACGAAACAGGAACACCTGCGATTGTGAAGAATTGAATGCAAGCTATCTTGAACCGAAATAAGTACATCACACTACAAAATACGCTGGTTCAGCACTCATATCTAACATTTAACTCATTAAGCGCAGTTGTAGGTATGTGCTAGAGAAAACAAAACTGATAAACTGGAATGAACAAAACAAATATTGAAAGGTATACAGCTATTTGTAATGGGAAATTTCCAACTAATGTGATTCAGTCAACTAGCTGACATCTTATTCTCTGGATCATGAAATTTTGGGGAATTTCGATAATATGTTTACTAGACAAACTTGATCTTGGTTTCCGAAATACCGTTTGAAAATTATGGTAACTTTGAGGTTTTCTGTAGTTTCCCCTTCCATATATGTATTCGTTTCACAGTTTGTATGGTATCTTGAAACATAAAGGCTCTTACCGAATCAAATAAATATATCACAGAGTGATGCTAAAGTCAAAAAAGTGTTAATGAAGAAGTCCATTGACTCATTAGCAGGAATTTACACAGTTTTCTTCGAATCCCAGCGGGTACGTACTGCCGATGATTCCCAAACTAGGATGAAACAGCAGCTGTCCAGTACACCCTGGTTTTCAATGGTTCTCTAACTGATATCAATCCGTGATCAACTCGTAAAAACATAAATAACCCTTACAAAACAAACTATAGAAAACAGTTTTCCTCGACATTACCACAGATTATCAACCTGACTAGAGATAAAGGTGAACAACCGACGAATTTACAACAAAACACTGAGAAAACCATACTTTGACGTAACTTTATTGAAATTAGTAGACAAAAGGTACAGCTTATTTAATTATGTTTGTCATTACCCATTGAATTTTTTAGCAGAAAATAAAAAAAAGGCAAACAACTGCAGTTGCCTCAGTATAGTTTTAAAATCCTTGTGAACAAAAGCTGTTAACTCTTTTTATGAATTTCGGCAAAAGAAGAAAGAACACATTCTTCAAATTAGGTAACTTTGAATCCTTTTCTTGTATAAATTAAATATTTTTGAGTCAGTGGTTAATTCAACGAAATTTCGAGAAAATAATTTGTTTTTCTCATTGGTATATAACTGATGACTGAAAGTTCCGTCCGTCTGATATAATCATCCGTATGAATATTTGACAACTACACCCTAATTTTAACCAAATGAATTCGACTGTCCTTACATAGTGTGATGTATGTAAAAATAGGTTTAAAACTTAATTTTATGACGTCATTAAACTGGATGAAACAAAATCGCCATTCATATATGATGTCAGCAATGAAGGAAAAGATATTTTACACCAAAATCTGATGTTACTGTTGACCGCATTTTAATACGTCTTCCGAATTATGAATTAAGTGAGCCTAGATTTTTTTCGGCTTTAGGAAACACATGTCAGTCTGCACAGTGTCCAGTTATCACTTTCATTAAATCAGCGAGGATCATCACTTGCAACCCGTCCAGAAATACCAACAACAGCGCACACACAACTGCAAGTTGATACCAATCCTCCAAAGAGAGCTGAAGTCTTGAATGCAATCAAGCTTCTGAAAGATAGAAAAGCAGCTGGACCAGATGGAATACCCCCTGAAGCACTAAAATCGGACCCAGAGACTACAGCAGATATGCTGACTCCATTATTGCAAAAGGTTTAGAAGGAGGGGAAGGTGCCTACTGACTGGAAGAAAGGTTACCTCGTGAAACTACCAAAGAAGGGCGACTTAGGCCCCACTCTGCAAGAACTGGTGAGGAATCATGCTCCTGTCGACGCCAAGTAAAATCCTGAGTCGTATCGTCCCGGAGAGAATAAATGACACATTGGATGCAGAACTCCTACCAGAATAAGCTCGATTCAGGAGAGGCGAATCACGTTCTGACCAAATTAAAACTCTACGCATCATCAACACAGAACAAAGCATGGAATGGCGATCAAACCTCTACATCAACTTTACAGACTTTGAGAAGGCCTTTGACAGCGTTGACCGTGAAGTAAATCGGAAATTACTCGAGTACTACGGCGTACCCCAAATATTCATCGACCTTATTCAACAGCCGTACGACAGCGGAACATGTCAAGTGATCCACAACGGAAAACTCAGCGAGGCGTTTGGAGTAAACACAGGAGTCAGACAAAGGTGCTGGCTTATTATCACCAATGATATTCCTAATTGTCGTGGACTGACTGGATTATGCGTCAGACAGTGAGTGAGAAACGAGAAGACAGGAATATCCTGGACCGACGTGAAGAACCTAGAAGACCTGGATTTCGCGCGTGGATGATTTATGTTTGATGTCACACACACAAAATCGAAGACTTACAAGCGAGCAAAAACCGACAAACTGGTCGAAGAAGCAGCCGGCGAAGACATGACTCCATGTGAACATAGACAAGACGGAGGTTATGAAAATAACCAACCAACAACAACAACAACAGCAGCAACATCTAGTGTCAATCACCATCAACGGGAGGAATTTGAAAGAGGTTACTTCATTCACTCACTTATATAGGGAGCATTGTCTCAACTGCAGGCAGTCGGAACGGACGAGGATGTCAAATCGAGCGAGAATCGGGAAGGCAAGAAATACATTCATCGATCTAAAACCAATCTGGAAATCTTCGTCACTCAGCCAGCATCAACAACAAAATCCAGTCGGATTTTCAATACAAACGTCAAGTCAGTCAGTTCTTCTATACGGATCAGAAACTTGGCGGGCGGGTTAGATAGAGTATTTCCAACAGC